ATATATATATATATAATATATATTACTTATATATAGTACAATACGTATACATATATTATACATATATTATATAATATATATTATATATATGCATATATATATTGTATTATATATATGTATATATTATATATATTATATATATTTATATACATGTGTATATAATCACATTAAATACATATGCAAAGACGCGGTGTGTACAAACGGCAACGAATAAACGGCATGCATGCAGCCCCAAACACTGCATGCGTGCAAGTGCATGCATGCATGCAATATATTTGGGGCTGCATGCATGCATGCATCCAATAAAAAAAGAAGAGAATATAATTATGCTGCTCCTTTTACTTTATGTGTTAAGAAATAAGATAATTCTTGTGCTAACATCTCCGCCTCCAATATTGGCTTATCTGCAACAAATAAATAAATAAATAAATAAATAAATAAATAAATAAATAAATAAATAAATAAATATATAAATAAAATAAAAAGAATAAATAAATTAATTAAATAAATCTAGATAAATACATACAAATCGAATATTCAATAAGTATAGCCAAGACCCCAAACCTTAAACCCTACCCCTCCCTCAAACCCTAAACCCTAAACCCTAAACCCTAATTTTTTTTGTAGGATATTTTCCTCCCTACTTACCGACGGTTTCATGCATAGCATCTGTCCAGAATCTGGGTGTATGTACAGCTGCTCCTCTATTAGCTAATGCACGAATAAATCCTTCCTTCTCTGCCTCAGCAACAAAGTTATTAAATGCCTTGCTTATTGCCTCTTGTGTAGGTTTTCTTTGTTTGTCTGTCTTACGGTACCCCTTAATAAAATAACAATCATTAAATACTTTTAATAACCCCATGAATGCCATAATATATACGGGCTTAGGGGGAGAAGGAGAGGAGGAAGAGGAAGGAGAAGAAGAAAAAGATGCAAGAGAAGAAAGAGAAGAAGAAAAAGGAGAAGAAATAACTAAATTATTCCCTTCTGCTGTTGTTGATGAATCTAGATTCATTAATTCCTCAAAAACATCAGAAAATAACCATTGAGATCGAACACCAGCATAAGTATCAAATACATCTCCTTCTGGTCCAAAATGGTCTCTGTAGACATACATAAACCCTAAACCCTAAACCCTAAACCCTAAACCCTAAACCCTAAACCCTAAACCCTAAACCCTAATTTTTTTTATATTGTAAATATTAAAGAATATGAATATATATGTTATTTTAAAGAATTTTATGTCAACTTCAATTTTATGTGTCAGGGAATAAACCCTAAACCCTAAACCCTAATTACACATTCTATTTTTACGGGTTTAGCTATGCTTACTTGAAGGAACGGAGCCAAGCCTTCTCTAATTCTTCCAAGGGTTTACTTGTGTTTGCCCATGCCTTCATTCTTTTCTGCACCACAAACCACAAACCCTAAACCCTAAACCCTAAACCCTAAACCCTAAACCCCAAGTTGGAAGAGTGCAAGGTGTAGGGATGTCTAGGGTTTATTAGGATTAAACTGTGTTTAGTGTTTAGGGTTTAGATATTTTTAGTGTTTATTAGTGTTTTTTTTTGATTTTTAGGGTTTTTTCAGGAATTAGAGTTTAGGGTTTTTTTTAAGGGTTTAGGATTTTTTAGGGTTTAGGGTTTAGGGTTTAGGGTTTACGGCAAAAGATCTTCTTAGTGACCCTTTAACAACTCTTCCTATAGTTTCATCTAAATAAGAAATTAATAATCTTAATTGTTGTTGGGGATTAAAGACAGAATTTAAATCCTCAATAAATGCAACATGACGACCCCATAGAGCAAATGCCTCTACTAATAAGGAATTGTTACGGGCTAGGACACTTGGACTCCTGCTCCTGCTGCTGCTGCTGCTGCTGCTGCCTAGGGAGGGAGAGGAGGAGGAAGAGGGAGGGGAGGGAGATATAAATGATGCCATCAATGGATTCAGTTCCTGTAACTTTGTCTGCATCAAATTACGCCCTACAAATATATACAACAAAACACAAACCCTAAACCCTAAACCCTAAACCCTAAAATACAGTGTAAGCCCTAAACACAAAAACACTGTAAACCCTAGAACCCGTTGACCCACTAACCCTTAAAACCCGCTAAACCGTAAACCCCAGTATACCCTAGAACCCAGCAACGCCAGTAAACCCTAAACCCTAAACCCTAAACCCTAATGGTGTGTTTATTTCTTACAGACGAATTGTGCGAGTCCTGCAGCACCAACATCAGGTGTATAAGTAAAGGATAAGAAAGTGCCAGTAAGAGGGGAGATAAAAGAATCCCCTAATAGAGGAATACCCAAGGGGGAGGGCTCATAAGGACAGTAATCAAGAGAAGAAAGAGAATTATTATATTGATCTGTATTATATTGATTAGGGTTTATTAATCTTCTTTGTATTCTTTTTTCTTTTATTAATTTTGTTAATGTAGAGGATAAACTAGGTACATAATTATTTAATGCATTCTCTACTATACCCATTGCTTCCTCATACTCTGCCCCTACTTCTGTTGATGCTGTTGATGGTAAAGATAGTCTATCTCCCCAGCCAAATCTCTGCATGCATGCATGCATGCACACACAAAAAGCCCCAAAATATACCAACATATTGATGTATTATATGTATATATATTTTTTTTGTATAGAAAATGGCAACAACCCCACCAAATAAACACACTGCATACCGCTCCATGCATGCATTCATGCAGTACACACAAAGAGCCCCAAACATATACAACTAGCTAATTAAGTAACAACCCCACCATACAAACACACTCTACTGTTAGTGTGTTTATGGAGTAGTGTGTATATTTCCTAGGGTTTAGGGTTTAGGGTTTAGGGTTTATAGTCTTACCAAACCCTCACGACTTCTTAAGAAAATATGTTTTCTTATCCTTAATACTCTCTTAAATAGACCACAGCCTGCGCCTTCTATTGATGTATGCAACGCTCTTGTTGCCTCGAACTCCCCAAAGAAATTGTCCTCAGTTGGTACATTCTATACACACAAACCATAAACCCTAAACCCTAAAAATCTTAAACCCTAAACCCTAAACCCTTGAAAAACAGGCTTAGGGTCAAGAGAGAAGACGACGAACCCGAAAACACTCCAAGAGGAAGAAGCCAACATCTACCATACTTAATTAAACCCTTAAACCCTGTAAACCCTAAACCCTAAACCCTAAACCCTAAAATAAACCCTTACGGCATATCCCATTTCCTTCTCTTCTGCCTCTCGCACTTGCATGACGAGACGGACACCATTGACGATTTGTTCTCTGAACTTTTTTTGTTGCATAATGCTGCAGCACAAGAAAAAAAAGGGTTTAGGGGTTTTGTTTACAACAAACCCTATACTCTAAACCCTAAACCCTAAACTCCTCTATACTCATAATGCCTTCTAGGGTTTAGGGTTTAGGATTTCTGAATCCCCGCAGTTTTTTACTGTCTTTAACGATTTTCCGAATTTGAAAAATTTTTAGGGTTTAGGGTTTAGGGTTTAGGGTTTAGGGTTTAGGGTTTAGGGTTTCCATACTTATCAACAGCAAGAAGTGCTTGTTCTCTTGCTTCTGGTTCTGGGTCTGATTGTGCAATACAGAGAGCTTGTTGTACATTAAGATTATATCCTTTTCCTTCTTTTTTTTGTTTAATAGAATAAAGAAGAACAAAACGCATAAATTTAATTAATGATCTAGCTGCTTGCCTCCATATAATAACAGGAAAAACACGAAAACGTAAAAAGGGTCGTAAAGATAAACCCCTCTCTCCCTCCAAAGCCCCAAATAATACATCTGCATGCAACGATGCAGCAGTAGGGAGGACCTGTAGATGCTCCTCATACATCCTATACATATACACATACACATACACATACATATATATATATATATA